GCAGGACCGGCATAATTGCATCCCAGCCAGCATTAAGCCCAATTAAGTTGGCGCTGGCACGCACACCATCTCGCCCTAATCAGAGTCTATAATGCCCTCTTCATTCTTTTCCCTTCGCCTGTGCAAATACTCTTTCGTCCAGAAAAAGATAATTATATATATATTTTTTATATGTTTTTAAACCTAGGTATTGTAATAAAAACTCTTTACTGAAATTTATACAAATTAATAAGCTGTCAAATTGTTGCCAATGGAAAGTGTTAAAGGTAATAACATTAATAAATTCAATTTCCTAATATAATAATAATTCACGACCAATATTTATACTAATGAAACAGCGAATTCTTTAGTTGACCCAAGTGAAACCACGAATTCATAAGCATTACATGATCTGCACATCTGATAGAAGATGAAGCGTTTCTATAAAGTTCCGAATATATACCCACATTTGTGCCATCAGCACATATTATTAAAGTTTTACTGATATCAAATTCTTGAGATATTCCAACATAATGTTTTTTTATCAACATCTATGTCTTAGGGACACAACCCTTGGCCAAGTTAGGGCACAATGTTAATTCGCCTTCATTTCAACACTGTTAGCTTCATCGATCGGCGAGTTGCACCTGTTGCTACCCCAGCCTTAACCCCTCCATGCCTTAACCCCTTTTCGCGAAACTCTCGCAAGCTGCAAGCCAACGAAATCTATACATAATTAAAAGGAAAAAGGGAAAAAAGCACGCACAACGAGGGCAGTGCGTTGAAAGTTTAACGAGACGGCTTGGCCTTATATCGTCGTCCGTCCAGACCAGTTATGTGACATTCGAACCCCTGGATGAAAAAAGAAGAAAAATATAAAGGAAAAAAGTTACAGCTGGCCCCTGGACGACGCCTTCGAACGCATCTGCCCGCCTAAGAAAGAAATCTGCCAGGATAACCAGATAGCCAGCGCATATATATACCCCTATACTTAGGCGGAATGAGATCCCTTGGTGCTAATCAGACAGTAATGAAATCCAATTGGAAAGGGTAAAAGGATATTGCCAATCTTAATCAAATAAATAAAATATATATTTTGTTTAACTTTCTGTTCTCTTCTGTGCTCATTTTTTTCATTCAAAGCGAAAACAAAACGTTTAACTTTTTATTTTGGTATAAATATTTTCCCTTTTAATTGTAAAATTCACAGAATAAAACTCGGTATTTTTGTTTGTGTGTGGCCTTCGCTGCGCTTTTCTTTATTAAACCTTTTCCACATTTTCTTTATTTTTTTTTGTTCAATGTCTACTTACAAAAGCTGTCTTTTTCCTAAGCTCTTTCTTTCGACCTATCAAATTGTTTGTTGTTGTTTCGCCTCGGCTTCTTACAAATTTGTTCAATTTCTATTTATATAATTTGTTGTTGCTGCTTTCTAAATGTATATATAATTGAATAATGTATAAGTATATGGTGTATACTATATAATATATTTAATTTCAAATAATTGGTAATTTATTAATGTATTGTTATTTTTTTTTTGTATATTATATATATAGTATATGCATGTAAAACACATTTATTAAATATTTTCGAAAAAATACAAAATTTACAAAAGTTTTCTCTTTGTCTTACCATTTTTTTGTTTTTTAGTTGAACTATTGAAGCCAGTTAAATGTATTTTTTTGTTTTCGTTTAAAGCTGTCTATATAAGCAGATTTCAGTGATTTGTTATCTGTTGGGATTTTATGTGCCTTCATTTATTTAACATTGTTGGAATTACTTGTTATTTTCTTTCTGTCATTATATACACTCTTGTTTCTATGACTATTTTGTACTTTTGATTCTGCATTGCCTTTGCTTGTGTGTGTGTTTGTGTAAATGTAGGTGCGTGCGCATGTGTGTAAGTATGGAATGACCTTGAAGTCCAGACAATTTCCAGTTCTTAAATAAAATTTTGGCAATAAATTATCCAAATATACGCTAAGCATTGACAAAAATAACTTTACTCAAAAATAATGCAAAATAAATGAAACGATTTAAGCTTTTAGCAAAGGCGTTAAAATATGAATTCATTAAATTTAAGCAATAAAAAAAATAATCCATAAATTAATATTTTAGTAAGGGAATTGACATAAACAAAAGATATCTCGCCATTTATATACATCTATAAACGAAAACATCAAACGACTCTAAAAATTGATTACTGATATTTAATATTTGTCAAGTTGTTAATAATAATAAATTCATTTTATAAAGTTTTTAAAAACTATATTAACTAGTAAATAACTAAAAAACAACTATTGAATTTTTGTGAACGAAAACATATAAAGTTTTTTTTCAATAATTGGACTTGGTATAAGAGCATTTATAAAGTCAATGCCAATATTTATAATGTATATTTAACTTGATCGAGATGATTTAATTTAACTAAAATTGATAATGACTCCCAGTGACTTTTATTTCTGAAAACTGAAGTCAGAACAAGCTGCTAGAAGGCGAAAAAATGAAAACCAAAAAAAAAATAAAGATAAACAAAAGCCGCAGCAGCAAAAAAAAACAGCAAAAAAAAATATAAATAAAAATAAAAACAAAAACAAAAGGCAGACGCAGTCGCAGCGCAGCCGGCACGACCTTCACCCAATAAAGCGACCGACCGCGGTCAGAGTGTAAAAAAAAAATAAAGAAAAAATGGTTGGTTGCCATTTTTTTGTTTTTATTTATGTTTTTTTTTTTTTTTTTTTTTTTTTTGCAGTTAAACAATTGTGCACGCCAATTTTGTTGTCTCTGTTTTGCTTGGCCCGTCGCCCTCATTGTGTGTGTGCGAATTTGCCGGCTACTTATCTGTCTACCCTTTCGACTTTTAGAAGTATATCCACTTGTCGATTGACTTTTAAACAAAATGAACAATAAACGTATTTTATATGTTTAAGCTCTGCATATTACCTAATTAATCAAAACACTTGCTTAAAACTCTCTGCACAAACACTTCATTTAAGTGATTATCTTAGATTTCACAAAAATATTTGTTAATATTTTAACATAAGAATGACTTTATCTCACAAAAAATGCATTACAATTATTTATTGGTAAAAACAATTCTATGATCTAGTCAAAACTCAGTATACATCTATTCAAAAATTTAACTAAATAAACAAAAAATAAAATACATTTTAAAATGTCAGTAAAGAGCATCAGCGAATTCGTTCAGCTCACTTTAATAAATTTTCCTTTCATCTGTCGCCTTGTTTTTTTTTTTGCAGCTCAATTCACTTACCAAGTAAAAAAAATAAATAAATAAAAACAACGAACCCATCGAAACCGAAACTGAATGATTGTAGTAAAATAATAAAGCAGCAAAACAAAAAGCAAAAAAAAAACGTGTATAAATGAAATGTTATTTTATGGGTATCGTGATCGTTGTTATTGTTATGGCGGTGACTGTCTCCCGGCCGGCTTTTCTGCTTCTTCTTCGCTTTGCTTTTGTTGTCGCTTTGATTTCATTAAAAATTTTGCCGGTAAAACAATAAAAACAACAACGGTGAAACAACTCTGATTGAATTAACTTAATTTGTCTGGTGGGAGAAGGGGGCGTGGCAGCGACACCCCGGGCGAAAAGAAAAAAAAAAAAAAAAAAAACGTTGAACTGCTTGATTAGAAACGGCGACAAGAGTAATTTTCCCACCACCCACAAAGTGAATCACTTCGAATGAATCATTGCGAAATGAAAGAGAGAACAATAGATAAATACCATAATACTAAAAAAAAAAAAAAAAAAAAACAAGTAAATGTTATTTTACTTGTTGGGAAAAAGAACGAATAACGTATTAAACAAAAAGGTAGATTATAGTTTTAAAATGGGCTAAAAAACTGAAGAGCATGTTTTTTATATATACAAATAGGAAAACCAATAAACTTCTAACAGAAACTTATGTATTCTTAATTTTTAAAGAAATTTATTTTTGTTTTAAATACTCCCTGAAAATATAATGGTGCCAATCCGATATAAAAAAGCCATCCAAAAACTGCAACAAAGTTGCACATTTTCCAAAAACGAAAATGCAAATAATCAAAAATCGAAAAGCTCTGAAACAGAAAAGCCCTGTACCACATGAATGAATTTGGAAATCTTCAATGCACCATAAAAAACCAATCATAAAACAAAAGCGAAGAAATAAAAACAAAATTAAAACTGATTTCTTTCTTGGTATGTTGAAATATATTTATTGTATTGTAATTCCATTATCATAAATTTTGAAAAAAAAATATTTAAACGGTTTGTTTCTATATATAGTAGTGTGTGTGTGTTGTGTAATATATATAGTTTATATATGTAAAAGGTACATAAAATGTAATTATTGTGTTTCTTTTTCTCATTTTTTTTCGCTTTCAATTCGTTTTTCATTAATAGGTAACTACATAACGAGTTAAAAATTATTAGATAATATATTAATATAGGTGTTTAGCTTGATTCGCCAGTTATATCGATATTATTTTGCGATGTTTTCACATATTTAATAAGCAATAACCAAAGTGAACAGAATTTTTCATAACTTCTTTTGTCATCAAATCAAAAATAGGTTTTTCAAATATATAGTCATAAACATATGCAAAAAAAAAGTGTTTTAAATATACATGCAATAATTCATCATGTTCGTCTATTATAGTTTCATATTTTTTCGTTCAGCGTGTTAACAGTTTTTTTTTTTTGCTTTCATTTCATTGAGTTTTTCACATTTTTTTTTACACAAGTTTTTACATTTGTTATTTTTCTTCAAATAATTTGCTTTTTGTTTAAAAATAAATCTTTAACAACTAATTCAAATAGTAGTTTGTGTGTGTATAATATAAAAAATTTCATAATCATACAAATATATTTAAACTTAAAAACTTTTTTTTTTGTTTTTTTATTATAAATGTATTTTATAAGAAAAAAAAGTATAATGTTTTTTGTTTTGTTTTGTTTGCGAGGATTTTGGTTTTGGTCATAGTTTTAATATATATTTTTTGTTTGTAATAAAAAATTATGTTTAAAAATGCTCTTTCACTTGAATTTGTTGTTTCGTTAATAAATTAATTAAAGGACTAAACAAAGAAAAGGTTTGCTTTTCGTATTTTTAGTTTCTTGTCATTTCTTTTTTAGTTTATTGTATCGTAAATTTGTACGGTTCTTGTTTTTGTTTGTTGAAATTATAGAAAGAAAACAAGGTGTTTTTTTTTTTTAATTCGTTAAACTTTTTCTTGTTGTATGTACTATAGGAAAATAGGTGCATTCGTGTTTGTGTATTTTGTATCTTGTTTATGTATAGGTGTGTTGTGTAGCGTGTTTGTTGGTTTATTGAAGTTTTGTTTTCGTTTCGCGTTGTACAATTCGCTTAAGTCTATTGCTTTGTGTTTTCTCTCCGGGTTTTTTTGTTTTCTATAAAAATATTTCCATCTATTGGGTTTTGGGTTCGCTATTTTGTAGGCGTGTGTAACTATTATTTAACGAGATTGCTATTTACAGTGTGTACACATTTTTTGGTCGAAACAATACCAAAAATATACTTCTTAATTGTTTGTCCAAGTATATGTATTAATCATTTTTTTTTTCGTTTTCCATTTAACAATTTTTTTGTAGTTTAGTTTAATAATTCAAAAAAATAAAGAAGAGTTAAGATTGTTTTGTTTTTCAAAAAGGTTTTGCGGCGGCGTATTAAAAGAAAAGAATAGTATAAGATACAAAATATTTCATGGGTTTTAACGTAAAGCTAGTAGTAAACAAAAATAATTAGAAATATAGATGTATTTGGGTAAAGTAGGTAGGTATTAGCCTAGAACTCACATAAAAAATTTCGTTGAAACGTCGGCCTACACTCTATTTAGAAATTAACTCAATATATGTAATATACAATATACCTAAATAACCTCCCCTGATCTCATTCAATTTCTGGTCATCATATATCCATATATATATCATGTGTGTGTGTTGGTTTTTTTTTTTTTTGTTTTTGTGTCTAAACCTAAATAACAGTTGACATTGTGTTTCCTATATTTTCTCTCATGCGCTTTTTATTTCATTCGCATGCGCTTTAGTCGCTTATGTCCTTTAGTTTAGTAGTAGTTATTTAGTTGATATTTAGATGCGTGTAAACAATTGGTATAATCGTTCGTTAATCATATATAACATATTGCCGAGAGGCAATAACTTATTAGCAAAAAATCGACAGTTAAACAGCTCACAAAAGTTTGAGTTCTCTTGGGTCTTGGGGTCGTGGGTGTATATATATCTCTCTGGTCTCTCGTAACTCCAATCACAAACTTTGCAGCCAATTTCTCCACTCATTCGCCCTCTCCTTCTTTCTATCTATATATATATCAGCTATTCTCGAGAGGTTTTCGTTTAGGTTTAGGTTTAGTTTAGCACTATTAAATAGTTTAAAGTTTTTCTTAATTCCTTTTTTGTTTTCGTTAAGTTTTGCGCATTTCATATGCATAGTTATCAGTTAAAAATTATTATATATCCCTAGGTGTAGCAAAAAAAAAAAAAAAAACAGAAAAGATAATGATTGTAAAAAGGTGTATAATAATATTTTCACATTTTAATCTTCATTGCAAATAAAATGTATTTTCTCAATATAGGCAGTAGAGTTCAAGTTTTTTGTTGTTTGGGTGTATATAAAAAGCTTTTGCATTTGCATCTTTGCGTCGTCGTCCAACAGATGTCGATTTATATAAGTAAATATATTATAATATATAAACGGGTTATAGGATGTCGGGATGTCTTAGCAAAAGCATTGAGGTGTGTGTATGCATGCAGATATAGTTGGGTTTTTATCCTTTGCTAAAAGGATGCGTCCTTAACGACATATAGGACCCAAAGGCGCATGTAAAATAGACAATGGGTAGTCTAGGTAAACTATTGAACCAAGGTCTGAATATGGTGATCCTTATTGCTTCGTCAAGAAGTTTTGGAACCATTTGAAGAAGCCGGCTCTTTTTGTGTTTTTTTGGGGGTATCAACCAAAAGTTCTACTTTCAGCTATAATAATTCCTATGTATATCTTATCATCGTTCTCACTTCCGATTTTGTGTGCTCTATCTCCTCTTTGTGGCTCTTTCGTTGTAACTTTTGTCTGTTTTCCGTATCCGTTTGTTTGTTTTTTGTGTTTCCCTTTTCGTTTGTTTGTGTTTCTCCTCTTTCTTCTCTTTCTTCTCTTTCTTCTCTTTCTTCTCTTTCTTCTCTTCTTCTTCTACTCCCTCTCTATCTGTCTCTCTTCACTTTCACTTTCATTTTTCATTGTTTGGTTCCTTTCTTGTCCTTTTCCTCTTTTTTCTCGTTTTCCTTTTTGTTTACTTCATGGTTAAGTAGCTATTTCAAAAAAATAACTATTATAGAACCTAAATTATTATGTTATATACAGAGACCTACAAATAGATTCTAGTTAAGTATAATCCTAAATGTGTATAAGTTGTAATTATGCAGCAAAAATAAAAAAAAAAAAAAAAAAAAAAAAAAAAATATACACTTCAACTTGATTTCATAACACCGTTTTTTCGTTTAGTTTCATTGCCAAATGAATTCGCGCGGAAAGAAAAATAATATATATATATATATCACATCAAAGAAATCAAATTTGTTAAATCACTTTATGTTTATAGTTTTAAACATAACCTACTAACTGATATTGAAGTTCTTCCGAAGAAAAAAAAAACATCATATATGTAAGGTCATAGGTCGGTCATAAGGGCTAAGGTCAAGAAAGAAAGAAATATCGCAAAATATATAAGGGGGTGTGCTGGTGATATATATAGGTTTTTCTAGCGCTACGCCGCCGCTTTAAGCAGTTAGTACTATAGATAGACAACCCCACTATCCACTGATAGAGTGCGGTTCGCTTTTCACCTTCCTATAGCGGGCTAGTATCTCCTGCTGCTGCTTGAGCTTCACACTCAACAGCTGGCGCTGCAAACTGAGCTCTTGCTCCTCCTGCGTCAACTGGATGCACAACTTGGCCGCCTCGCGCAGGATGTTCACCTTGGGAGCCCGCTCCTTGTCCCTGATAGTGGGAATCTGTTTCTTCAGCGCCTCAAAGAGGTTCTTCAGGCCAATTCGGCGCTGGCGCTCCATGTCATTGTGCTGATTGCGCTTCTCGATCGTATCGGCCTCGTCCAGGCCCAGGCTGAAGTCCTTCCGGAGGACACTGCTGCTGCAGCTGGTGGAAATGCCCTGGACTACTGTGCTACGTCGCTGCCAGTTGCGATCCATGGGATCCACATCCTGGCCAGAAAGCGCCGAAACGGGCGATGTGCTGCCCGACGACGATGCCGAGGAGGCCACCACCTTCTTGCCGCGGCATTTTTTGCTCATCATAGCGTTACCGTTGTTGCCGTTGCTGATGCCCGGCAAAATCATGCTGGAGGTGATGCCCCCACCAGGAGCCTTCAGACAGGTTCGCTTGCGTCCCTTCGAGTTCGAGGTGAAGCTAGACTGCGAACTGGATGAGCTGGAGCTCGAGCTGACGTTCGAGGAGTCCACGGACAGAGGCGAGTAGGACGGCGAGGCGGAGGAGCAGTGCTGGTACGGCGTGCTCGATGGCGACGGGTAGCGCGAGTTGGCCACCGATTTCACCGGACTGCTGCTGGCCGGCGTGTACGGCAGATTGAAGTTGTTGTAGCGCGGCTTCTGCGTCATGTGGTCGATCGCTATCTTGTGGGCCATCTTGGTCTGCAGGGCGCCCATTACGTGGCACGAGGGATTCGTGGGCAGCTTCTTGTCCGTAGTATACGATACCACATCGATTTCCTCATCTGCAAATTGGGGTGGTAAAAGGGAGGAGTTTCTCGTTAGCATGGTGTATATTTATGAAACTGAGCTTACAAGTAACAAACAAGCTCTTTAAGACAAGGTTATACTAAAAGGGAATTAATATTACTGATTTTTCCATATTTTTCCACGAAGGGAAACTCTATTAAAGCTCTCAATACCCACAATCTTTATTTTATATTCAATTTGTTCCAATATAATAATGCAACGCACTGTGCTGCAGCTTCAGCTTCTTCTTCTTCTTCTTTTTTCTTCTTCTTCTTGGTTCAATGGTCGCAACGGAAGCGGTAAATTAGCGAAACGGAAGAGAGTACAGCCAAAGCTGTGTGCCTCGAACCCAGCCCCCCACCCTATCTATATCCTATCCCTATACATCTCCGGCTTTCTCTGTTGCCAGGCGGAATTACGAGTTACGAATTACGTGGGATGTGGGATGTGAGATGTGGGGTAGAAGAGAAGGCAAAATAAAATAAAATAAAATAAAATAAAATAGAAGAAGGCAAAACAAAAAGGCGGAGACAGACCAATGACGTCAACACAAAAGGGCGTAGTCGCGACGATGCCAGTGCCACTTGAAATTGAAATCCGTGCAAATCTATTGCTTCCTGAAGTCTGATATAGCACCGTACATACGACGAGTTCTCTAGTGCGGGAAACGAAACTATACGTTGACACACTAATCCGCTTTAGCTGTTCTTTCCTTTCTTTTTTTTCCACGCCAACCTAAGTCATAATTCTAGCCATCACAAGGGTCATTAAACTTACGCTAAAAGAAAAACATTTGCGGGGCTTTGGCTTGGGGAAAAAAGAACAAGAATTGCATGAGGATAATGGCCTGGAATTGGAAATTGTAATTCCCATAGCTCTCTCTCTCTCGAGTCTCTATACAAATAATTCAATTTCTTAAATTCTTATTATGTTTGTATGTAATTTTGTTAGTATAAGGTTATTCGAAAAATGCAACCTTCAATTGAATCAAATTTATTATAAATTTTAATGTTTATTCACATTGAATTTAGAGCAACTGTTTAAACAATTCTTTTCGCTTATTAAAGGCAAGCAACTGCTGTGCAAGCAAGCAAGCAAGAAAAAGCAGGAAAAAAGCTAACTTTGCACGCTTGGCAACAAGGTAAAATAGGAATAGAGGACCGAGAGGGGGGTAGGGACTGCTGACAAGTGCAACAAGTTGCAAGTTGCAAGATCAAGTGCATGGGAGACTGGCAAAAAATAAACATTGAATAAATCCCCAACTGGAAACAGCAACGAAATCGAAACCTGCAGAGAAGACGCCTGAGTGGGCATGAGTCAGATTCTTTCAGGAGAATCGAGAGATAAAACGAGAAGAAAAGAAGGAGCCAAGCGAGTTCTTCTTGGTTGCTTTTTTTCTGTTTTTTGCCAACGTCATCATTCCACTTTGGCTAGACAAGCAACAGACCACCAAGATCTTCCTCCCCCCTTCGACAAAATCTTGGAATGCAGCCTCTCGTCGACGGCCATTTTTCCAGATAAAAAATATATAAAAAAAAAGTGCATGAGGAAGAAGCGCTCCTGCTGACTGGACAACAAACTCTGTGGAATGTCAGGCACCATTTATCACAAACCGAACATTTTAAGTGTATTTATTTGATTTTGAAAACTAAGCAAAACTAGATTAATAAACACACATTCACATTCACATTCACATTCACAGGAACTTAACTTGTCAGGTTAGGCTGAATTTCTATTTAAAAGTCATAAATAGCCAAAAACAAACGCCCGACAACGACTTCGAATAAAAATCAATAAATGCTGAATACAAAACAACTGTCAAGCGAGATTTCCAGCGAACGAGCGAGCGAACGTACAGCTTCATTTCAATATCGAAAGGGGAATTTCCAGACTGAGAGACAGACCAACCCCACATCACGTTTAATAGACAATGAATGGGATGGCAACATAAAAATAATCAACAAAACAAAATTGCAATCTTCCACCGTTCGTTCGGCTCACTTGTCTATCCCATCAAAACTGCAACTGCAAACTGCATTCAATTCAGTCGTTCAGTCATTCAGTTATTCACATATTCAGATATAATAATACAAATAAAAACTAGGGTTGTGCCGGCAGCTTTTGCCTTAGTTTTACTAACGGTTAATCCGCACAAATAGGATGCTGCTGCTGCTTCTTCTATATCTCTCATATCTGTCCTCTCTCTCGCTGAATAAAACCAAAAAAAAAAGTACGAGAAAAAACCAGACAAACTCGTTTGCTGCATTAAAATACAAGAAACCGACTGGAAGAAGCAGACAAACCAAACAAAGCAACTTTTATTTTTTTTTTTATTTATTTGAGACGGCAACAGCAATTTTTGTTGCTATGCGAATGAAGCCAAGATCAAATCGTAATAATAATAAAAAAAAAAGTAATGGAGTAAAGAAGGATGGCTTTAAGACTTTTTGATACCCTCTTTTACTTATTGTTGTGAATGTGAACTTTATGGTAGTTGTGTATTTAAGCCGTTGTTATTCGCACACCAAATGGCGTCTGATTTAAGAAACTCAAGGAATTTGTAATATAAGTGTATTTTAGGAAATTTAAATTAACTTCACGAAAAGTTCGTGTAACCCTTATTTAGGATATCAAAAATGCCAAAGAGGAAGCTGCCGCTGATTAAAATTGCAAATAAAATGCACACAAGCCGCCACATGTTGCGCAACTTTTGTGCAGCTAAAAGAGGGAGGCGGTGGGTTTGATTGGGTTGAGTTTTTCCTGCCCATGCATTCGTACTTTACAGTGTGCATATATGTACATTCATACATATATATATAGAGAAGTGTGCGATGATAAGCACAGAACAGATGCCTTTTGCCCTATAAAATTAGCATAGGGTACGGTGAGATGCGGACAGACAGGCAAAGGGGTAAGCCCAAAAACAGAGAAGTGTAAAAAGGGGACAAGTGCATCATCAATACAAAAGGCGCATTAAGTGCAGCAGATGAGAAGCTTCCGATATATATACTATATATTATCATATGCGAGGGTTAAATACCCTATCATATCTTTGGGTTGGGTCGTCGAGCAAATGAAATTGGAATGGAAATGGCAATGGCAAAGGCAAAGGCAAAAGGCAGCATGATGTAATACAGACAAGAATTTTTTAAAAAGCCTATAAAAATAAAAGAAGCAAGCGAAAAAAAGGCAACGATAACTCAGCAAATAAACTACAGTGGGATAAATTAAGACCACTTGGAGATAAAATGTCTCTGGGAATTAGGCATTATGCATCGATGGGGGACAGTAAAATCAATTAAGATTTCAAGCATGTGGCATGGCATATTTTAATATTTGTAAAATTCTTTTTTCTGCCCGTTGAATAAATAATTTAACTTTCAAGTCGACAAAATTGTAGAATAAACTGTGGGGCAACTTTTTCGACCACTATACCAAGTCGTAAAATAAAACAAATTCTCGGCGACGATTTCCTCTTCCCTTCCCATTTTCCCCGCTGCCCTTGTAAATTTGTTTAATAACAGACGCTGTTGTTTATTTTGCTCCGCGTCTGCGACTTTTATGACACATCGCCGTACCGCGCAAATGAAAACTGCAAATGCTGGGCGGGAATATATGAAAATAAATTATTATTTCGAAGAAAGTTCATTGAGGGGAAGAAGAATTTGTGTTTAGATCATCACTGGCCGGCCGGCCAGCCAGACCATAGTGAATTCATACGCTTTTTTCGCGCCCTCTGCACTTTGTATTTGTTTACGATCTCACACACATTTTAACGATTCTTTCGAATTTGCAATTTTATTCGCCGAAAATTGAAGGAAACCGTGAAATGAAGAACAAAAACATGACTTTTTGCACTTTCCCACGCCTCACCACCCTATATTTTTGCGTTGGCATTTCGCATGAAAATCAAATAAATTGCAACTGCAACACATGTTGCACTTTTGCCAAAGGTTAAGAGACGGAACAACAACAGCCAGCAGCAGAAATTGCATCTGCATCAGCAGCAGCCACTGCAACAGAAATTGCAGCCGCAGTAGCAACATCTGCTGGCAACATGTCGCTCAACCGCAACTTGCCACACCGATGGCCAGCGAAATAGGTCACGCGAATAAAATGTTGTAAAAACAATGTTGTAAACATTTGTGGGAAATGTTGTTTTAATAAAACAGAAAATCAAAAACTAAATCCAAAAAGTGGTATACTTTTTGCAAATCAAATTATAACTTAACAAGACATATTAAACCATTCAGTACAGTTTTTGAAACAACAGCGGAAAAACAGTGCTTCCGCTGCACTAGCAAATTTTCCCACGCGCATTTCTTGCACTTTTCCCTTTTTTTTTTCTTTGCGTTGTCCCCGTCTTATTTGATTTTCTCGGCTTTTCCTTTTCCTTTTTTGTGACGTTGTGAGCGGGAATTTCATCATCGGAGGAAAAGCAGGATGTGAGTCATCATGTTGAGCCTTTTCCGATGGAAACCCGATGGAAAACTCCTCCCCGAAAGTACGAAAATAATGACTTATGTTGCACAACGTCGCAATGCGACATATCATATATGATGGTGTACTCCCCATATGATATAATATCCAGTATCCATAATGTAATAATGCTAACTGGCACATAAATTATGAAAATGCGTCTGGCAACATTTGCCACTTGAGCTTTTGGCAACATTCTTGGGTGTGGATACATCCTCTTTGGATGTATATATGTATATGTATATGTATACCAATTTATCTGTTTATACAGGAAATCTCTTATAAACGCCGAAAGGGAGGCTCGTTTGTTAAGGGAAAAAAAGATAAATAAATAAAGCAATGACAAGTGAGTGAGACCGAGAGGGGGGGAAAAGCTCTGCTCTTTATGGGCTTTTGGTTTTTTATTTTATAACGCCGTCGTTGCCGCTTTTGCGACCTTGAGCATAACAATTTATTGCTACACGTGCGCGAATAAAGCAACAACAATCCAGCACAACACAACAACTACGACGCCATTTGTACATCGGACAGAGATGGCATTATTAAAAGAGATAAGGACGGAGACGGTACGCCTAGCAACAATCCAAAAAACCGTAAAAAAAAATGCCTCAAGACTGAAACCCGAAAAATAACATATATACGGCCTATTGTAAACAGCGCTTTTTTGGGCGTCTTTTTGGCCGCTTCTATTACTAGTTCTATTTATCTTTTGCGGTATATTCCCTATATATCCTTTTTTTTTACCATATGCTGACATTTCGCTTTGTTTTCTTTTACACATACTTCTTTTGCTGATGTATATTTTTTTATGTAACTTGATTGTCAATCTAAATTTATATATTAGTTATGCATTTTTTAAATTTGACTTTATATTATTGTTGTATTAATTGCTAATTTTAATGTAAATTTTAATTTTAATGTTTAGAACAATTTTTAAATATTTACAGTACACAAATGTCTAATTTTAATAACATTTTTCTGTTGAACTTTTTATAAATTAGCACAATAAATTAGGTTACACATCATAGGTATATAAATTTGTTTTTTAATTGATAAAAACATTATCTTATGTTTACTTGATTGTCTCCCAACTTTCGATTGTTTGCCTATTTGCTGTTCACTTTTTCTAAACGCATAAATTAAAGAGCCGTAGAAATCGAAAGTGAAAAGCAAAAAAAGAAGACCGAAAAGGAAATTTTGTTTTGCGTCGAGGTGGAAGTTTGTCTGGCCATAAAAGTTAAATTTGGTTTCTGGTTTGGTTTTTTTTTTATTGCCGCCCCCTCATTTTGTTTTCTACGCACTTTTTTCCAGCGATTCGGCTGACCTTGGTTCAGTTCATTAACATTTTCCAAAACCCGCACACACAATCGCAAGGTGCGAAATGCCAAAAAGCAACACGCACTACCAAAAAGTAAATATATATATGTACATACATATGTACTTATATAGGCGCCAACATAGGGGCATGTGGCATCTGGTGTCTCGCTCACACTCCCTTAAGCCTTATCTATTTGCCGAATTTTGTGCGTTGTTGCCAACCAGCCCTCACTGGGTCGTCTCGCTCGCACTCACGAAGAAGCTTTTATACTAATTAGAAGACTGCAGCATAGCGATAAAGAAAGTCCCCCCAGAAAAAAAACCAAAAATAAAGAAAAGAATTGATATTGATACAAGTGCGTGTGTCTTTGGACAGTGCCGTCTCACTCTAGCAGTCGTCACAAGATGCGAGTGAGAGCGAGATGAGAATATAAATTTGCTAATCTGCGGCACGCACCTGATTTCTTTTTCCGCTTCTTCTGCTATTTCTGTTGCTATATATATTTCCAAGGAGATATACGCACACAAAAAAAAAAAAAAAAAAAAAAAATCTCGAACCACTTGTGTCAAGTTTTTAGTTGCTAAATTAGCAGTGGAAAAATGATGATATGCTGAATTGGTAACACGTGTGCCTATTTTTTGTAAGACTTTGAATACATAGTTTAGATTGAAAGTTTCTTTGTTACTTAAGTGATGTATATAGGCATAATACAAATGTTTAAAGATTAATTAATATTATTACTTAGGTATTTTAGTTTCCAAAGGAATTTCCGCCTTTCTAACGTAGTCTGAATAACTTTTTAATGACGCATAATTAAAATAAATAAATGAGACCAGACGGGGGCGTTTTTTCTTAATATATTCTAAGCTTTTTGCCTATTTATCATTTTTTTTACTACGTTATTCTAATTTGTGTTTTATTATTTTTCGCAGCGGGAAAAAATAAAAAAAGGAAATATGTGGAGCACTTGGCAACAAGAAATAAACGCACAAAATAAAACAAAAGCACATAATGCAAAAGCAGACAACACCCCAAAAGCGAAAAAGCAAAAGCGTAAAAGCGCAAATCGCAAAAACCAAAACAAACGTGCAAAAATCGTTGTTGCTGCAATTTCTTGGTATAACTGCACTCGGCAAATTGCAAAAGAGAGAAAAAGAGAGAGAGCGTAAGTGTGAGATGGGTAGAGTTCGCCGTCACAACAACTTTATTGCTTTTGCTTTTGTCTATATATTTTTTTTTTTTGCTATTTTTGCAGGTCTTGAATGTTCTTAAATTTTGCTATATTTTTTTGTATTATATTATTTAATATTTTACCTTAAGCTTTCTGTTTTTAAATTTTTTGTAATTTTAATGGTAAACTGCAAAAAGCTTGCACTAACACACTCTCCATAAAATAGTAGTAGTAAATGTTTATGGCCATTGTAGTAAAAAAAAAATGCACTCGTAATTGCACTTGTAGTAGTAGTAGTAGCGTAAGACGTAGTAAAAATCTAGATGATTGGTGTGACGTAAGCTTGCGAGGGTTGCTCAATGGATAACGAACGTTTTGCGCGCCAAAAAGAGAGAGGAGACATTGAACTCGTCCGCGAAAAAAAAGAGAAAAGGGACAGGAATTGACTAAAAGTGTACCTTGGAATAAAAAATTGTAAGTTACAGTACCTTTATATAATATAAAAGTTTAACATGCATCTTCGAATTTATACACATTGTGTTATTTTGGATCTAAATTAATTAATTTTTTGATGTATAAATATATTTATATATATAAATCCCACAGCTTTTCTTTCAGAGTTTTGGAACAACCAAAATATCAAATATTTTGTTGTAGTGGCGAACCGAGCCGAGGGTACGGAAAATGCCGCCAAGGAGGAAGGAAAATTTTGGGGCTGTCTGCCACGTGGCCAGTGACCAGACATCCTTGAAAATCGCACAACAACGCACACAGAAAAAGCCAAGAAATTTTGGGGTGTTGGCCCAGAAGAGAGAGATTCCTATATGTATAAAGGTTATTTTTTGTAGTCTGGGCGTAGTTCTGCGCAAGAACTGACTGAACTCTTCATCATCCCCCGGGTGATGTGTTCGGGTTCTTCAAAACAGAGAGAGAGGATGACGCCATGAAGCACATAAACACAATGAGCCATGAAAGCCACGCGCCAACTTTTTCCCCATTGTGGGTGGTTGGGTGTAGGAAAATCATAAAGGAAAGCCCAAAGGCAGCGCGCAGCAAAAAGCACAAAAATCAATGGAAAAACCATCGCAGACAGACGCCGGCGTCGCGTGGGCGTTTTTTTTTTGTTTTGTTTTTGTTTTTGTTTTTGTGTGCAACGTAACAAGTTTACTACGTTTGCTGTTGACGTAGGCGTTGTTTTCCGCCGATCGATTTTCCGGTTGCTTTCAGTGTATACTGTGTACTTGTTCTCTGGGTGTTCGTATTTGTGTTTGTGTATTTTGCTTGGGCGTTATTTTGCACCCACACGAAACGGAAGTGCGAACACTAGTTGAATGTGCAACACCCAAAAGTGTGTGTGTGGGAAATGGGGGGCGGAAAATTAATCATTAGCTTCCCCGCGAGGTATCCTATTTCTATAATTAGTTTTGCGCTTAAAAGTACGTAGTAGTCGTGCGCGATGTATACAAAACTTGCTGCGTGTATACCAAAATTCAACAGCCTGACTATTGCTTCTGGTTGGTTTTGAATAGGTTTCGAGCCTAACGGACATTTAACTAGACTACAAGCTTCTTAACTGCTCATTAAAAAACTCACCGGAATCGGAGGGGGTCTCGAGATTGGGTCCGTCGTCGACCATGTCGTTGCAGCGTGTGTAGCTGTGGTCGCTGATGTGCAGCATGTGCGACATGCCGGTGTTGGTGACGTTGTTGCTGCTGCTGCTGCCGGTGGTTCCCTTGCTGCTGCGGTGGTGCCGCAGTCCATAGTTGAGGGAGTCACCATCGTCGGAGTCGCTGTCCGAGCCGGTCGTCGGCGGAGAGGCCACTGTACTGCATCCAGTGGCTATGTCGATGGCCTGCTGCTGCTCGTCCATCTGCTCCTGGCTGGTCTGCTGTGGATTTGAACCTGCGTTGACCTGGTGACTGAGCACATCGAGCACATCGTTCATCGTGGCGAAGGGGAAGCGAACGGTGCACAGATCCTTGCCGGCATTCTGCAGATCCCTGCTTATTTGATTGATGCAATTGACATCGCCATCGTCGCTGGTCAGCGAGATGTTGTTGCTGCCCATCACGCAGGCTCTGAGGTCCACATTGTGTCTGAATTCGGGAGCGGCCACCTCGTCGGTGAGACTGTGCGGTGTATCGGGCCTCAGGTATTTGCTGCTCTTCACTTCGCCACCAACACACCCCTTGCGAATGGCCATGGGACTGGGCGATGATGTAACGAGGAGGTTCCTCTTTCGCAGCAGACTTCCGCCGGGCGGTATCAACTGGTCCTCATCCTGGATCTGCATCTGCGACTTCTTGTCGCCAGCACTCAAACGCCGGCGCTTCTGGCTGAATGTGTAGTCCGGATCCTCCAACTCCTTCTTGATAACCACCGGCGAATCCTCGGCATTGTTTGCCTGCTGTTGCTGTGATTGGCTGTTACTTGAGTTATTATCTGTAGTCTGAGACTGTAATCGCTGATATGCGGAGTAGGCATTTGTGGAGCTGCAAGCCACGGCCAGGGATATGGCACTGGTCTCACTGTACGACGAGGCTGCACTGTTGCTTCCGGTTCCAGTGCTGGTTCCGGCCACATTGGGATTCAAGCAATTCGTCATCGACGACCACATGCAATCGACATTGCGAATCTCCGGCTTCATATCCTCATCGTTATCCATATACAAGTACGAGAAGTCCCCGTCAACATTGCCCATCTTCTCCAAATCACTTTGGATAGTGTGCAGGCCACTGATGTCATCGTACAGTTCACTATCCATATCGAAGGGGATCGAGAAGTTAAAGTCTTCGTCAATCGGAGGCATTTCCAGACCGGCATTGCGGTAGTCAGGGTACTGAAGAGTCATTTTGTGTCTGTGTTTGGGGATTATTTCTATATTTTAGTTCCTGAGTTTTGGGGCTGTCTGAAAATAAGGTAATGCGGAAATCATTGTAGGAAGGGATGCACAAAATATAAATATTTTTTCCCTCAGAGTCTTTGAGTACATTGAAACAAAGTTTTTTTTAAAACATTCTTTAAATTGCTAAATTTTTTTTTTTTTATAAAAAAAAAAAGTATATATATTTTTTATTTAAACAAGTTGAAGTACATTTTACCAAATTTATATTTGTGAGTTTATTGTTATTATGTTTTCTGTTCCTGTTATCACTTGTAATTATTTCTTAGTCCTGTTAAAAATATCAAATAAAATAAATCGTTAAATGTTGGATTGCAAATCTCATTTAGCGGCTAAGTAATAAGTAATACCCGTCTCAATTTCCATTTCCACTGACGTCAGGCGCCGTAGAGGGTTCAGCAAATGTTATCAAAAGTACACAAAAGCTATAGGTCTATATACTATTTTTTTTCTACACTATTAACGCTCCCCATTTTGCCCCCGAAAATCACGATTCTTAGAACTCTTGACAACAGCTAAATAAAAAAGCAAAAATAAATAATAAAAAAATAAGAGCAAAAGGGAGAACGAATATTCGTATTCCCATAATCCCAACTTATATTATTGCCTGACCTTCAACTGATAAATGCTGATCTTCAAGCTTTTGCCTGTGTTAGTAATTTCACTGTTTTTTCCTTTTCCTTCGTAAAATAGAAGCCGTTGCATTCTGAAGCGGTAAAACAAAAAGCAAAAAATACGACCAAAAAATAACTGTAAAACTCCTTCACAAGATCAATAAAAAAACTGTACAGTTAAATAAAAGCTATCGGACCACTCTTATTATTATTTAGTTAAATAGCAAAATTCATCTGATTATAAAATTTCTAATTTTTAAATTAACTAAAAATTCCAAACACAATTTATAAAATTTATCAAAATAAGAAATAATATATTTTTATTAAGACTTGCCTCTGATTTTATCTTTAAGTTAAAATTTAAGCGAATTACTCTTCGATAATATTTTGTTACATTCTAAATTGTTGCAAAAACTTTTTTTTTAACTATTATTTATTTTTAAGAAATTTTCAAAATTTTTACATTCAGCAAGAACAATATACCAAGTCTAAAAATGTGAATTTAATAAGTTTATAAATGGTCTCGAACTTTGCAGAATTTAGATTTTGTATTTGTTCTCCTTTAATACTTCCTTTTTTTTTGTTGGCAAGTTCTTTTTGTTTGTGTGCGTAAAGGAGCGACTATGGTGTGTGTTTACCGTTACCGTGAGTTGTGGTTTTTATTCCTTTTCACTCAAAATTCTTTTGAAGTTCTTGAAAATTCCAGCAAATTTTTCCTAGGCACGTACTTATGTATATATATATTTGCACTCACCTCTTTGAACAGCGATTTAATGTGTTCGTTGTATCCGTCTATTCAATTAATTGTAATCCAATTTGGTTAAGTTCCAGTCGGCTATATCTATTTCTATCCCGTTTCCGCCTTCTCACAAGTGTTGTTGCGCACTTTTTGCGTCAATTGGAGGAAAAACGGGGGGAAAAAAACCACCAAAAAAAGGGACACCAAAAAAAATTCTTCCCGTTTATTTTTTGCACTGGCTGTTTTTCTTTTAAATTGTTTTAGTAGTTCACAAGTTCTTCTTCGTTGCGAAGAATACGATATTTTGCGCGGTTTTTCCTCAGGGATCTCGGAATATTTCTGCGATTTTAGCACTATTATAACTTTTATGTGACATTTTCCAGTTGTGTGTGTGTAGTATAGCAGAGTTTGGGTTCGGTTTTTATTTTTGGATTAGCCTATATATATATTATATAGTTTTTTTGTCGGGCGGAAAACAGCCAAAAATCCAAATCCACAAAGCGAAGACAGGACAGATAGAACTCGGTGAAAACGCGGCGCACAAATGTCGATTTATTTCGAGGGCCGGTTGCTTTTATAAATTTCAGTCGAATCAGAGTGACCGCGGAAAAATGCTCATTTTCTCTCATCCGCTCTCTCCCGCTCTTCCACTCGTTCCGAGTTACTCTGAGTTCTCTGTTTGCGAAGCTTTTTAAATCCGAATTTATTGCATTTTACAACGTAATATTATTCCGCAAGTTCTACAAAGTTCTGCGATGACATTTGGGCTATTTCATCACGATTTGTTTATACTTATTTGCGTAGAAAGAAAAGAAAAATTGAAATTTACTCGCTCTCGCACTCACTTATATGAGTGTTTCCAACTTGCCGGTATTTGCCGGTTGAGTGAAAGAGATCGAATGAGAGCGAAAGAGAGTAAATGTCACATTCTTTGAGTGGTGTTTACAAATAAATTGAGCGGAAACTGAACTGAGCGGTTTTGAGGAAATCATGAAATTGCATCACCGGCAAATAATAAACATAAACAATTACTGAGAACTGTTAATACTAAAATTTGAGGACATACAGTTCCAATTAGAATAAATAAAAATGGCAGATACATATATGTATCAAAATGCAAATACAAAAAACGAAAACTGTGCGAGAGCAAAACTGTAAACATTTTAAATATATTAAAAAGGAATCAAAAACCTAGTTCCAATTTCAATTTAAAATGAAATAAGATAAAATGTTAGTACAGATAAATTTTAAAAATGTTAACAAAAGAAAAACCAATTGTTGGTGTTTAAAAACAGCTAAGTTTAGGATCAAAAATACTTCAAAACCCTCTAAAAACTATTTTGTGGGAATGCAATTATCTTTATTAATTTTAGCTTTTCCGTCTGTTCTTCTTCCTTGTTTCTTTTATTTGTTTAGATTCTTCTATGATTTGTATTTTTTTGCCTCTTTTTTTCTCGTTTTCTTGTGGCTATTTCTCGTGCTTATTTTGCAACTGCTTCTTTTCCTTGCCCTCTCCTTTATCTATTTTCTTTATTTAGTTAGGCTCTTGGTGTGCGTGCGTGTAATTTAAGCTCTTTGTCACTATCGCTCTATCCCACTTGTTCTTTTGGGTAACGCGGCAACTTTATTGAACTTGTGAACTTTTGTGGCAGCAACAAAAAAAAACTTTAAAATACCAATAAAACAAAGAAAAAGCCACAAACAAATACATACATTTTTTTGAGAGTGTGTTTTCTTTTTGAGTGTATGCGTGAACCTACCTCAAGTATAATTAAATTATGTCAAACAAAAGTTGGAAAGGAAGGCGAAAGAATAACAACTTTGAACAGAGTAAGAATAGCAGTATACATACATGTACATGTAGGAAGAGGAGAGGAGGATGAGGAAAGAAAGAAAATAACAAATAACAAATTTGTACATAAGTACATAAATGTTCTCTAAAAAATCAGTTTCCTACTTAATTTTCTAAAAAATTAACTCAAGTAGCACAACATACTAGTAGTACATTTCGGGACTCTGAAAAAAAAAATAGTTTTCAGTCGATTTACAATATTTTTTAGAAACAATACTTTTTATAACTGAAATATGTATATCAAGAAATCAATTGAAATATTAAATAAGGTTTTAAGCAATATTTGAACTTCAAATCGCATTACTGTAGGTTTACTTTTCTAACGAAAACTAAATATTTTTGTTTAAAAATTTAAAAAAAAAAAAAAAAAATTTAAGGTTTTAAAATTATCAAAAACACCATTAATGAGAATAATTCATATTTTTGTAGAACACCAGTTTTAAGGAATTGGAATTGCTATGAACATATTTACGTACATAACTGAAGATACATACATACATAGATGAATATTATCAACACAGATATATAAATAAATGAAAACTCTCTGATTGCTGGAATTTTGAGCTCTTTTCCCGCTGAATAAATCGTCAGGTGGTTGCGACGCAAAGTTCTTACCGCTTTCGCCACCCCTTTGATTTCGTTACGTTTCGCTTTGATTTCCATTTCCACAACCTGTCCCCCTGTTTTGCTTTTCTCCGCCATTTTCCAATGCACTTTTTAGCGCGTGCATTGGCCCTCTCTTTCGCACCCTTGCACGCTTCGTCTTTGTTTTGATTTCGCAACACTGAGACACAGCAAAAAAAACTGCACTGCGTAGTCCGCCAAAACATACCCTGTAATCTAACAAATTATTCATAGCCTTAAATTTATATGTATATTAAGATAAAATCTATCCAAAATTATTTAAACATGTTAAATCTTTTATTTAAACAAATTTTATATCTTTATTTGCATAACTGAACTGAAATAATTAGTACAATCAAAATTTTTTGGGTGTATTGGTAAATAAAAAATGTCACCATACAGAAAATCAAAATTTAAGTACCTTTAATAATTTAATATAAAAAATTAAGTTAGCATATAGTTTAATTTTACCTACTAAGAGGAATACGCTGTCTCTCTAAAAGGGTATGACTGCATTACTAACAAAAAAAGTTGGCGCGCATTTTGCGAGCTTTTTCTCGCGCCTGCATTTTCCCGCTGTCAAAGTTCGATTTCAACAAATTTTGAAATTTGTGTTTTTGTGGTTCGATTTTTGCGCAATTAATTTTTGCGCTTGCTGCTTTTTTTTTGGTATATTATTTTTGCCCCGTTTTCGTGGGGGTAAAAATGGAAAGTGTGCAAGAGGAGAAATACCAACTGCGTAAATAACGGCAACAAGTGGCTGCCGTGTTTTCATATCAAGTTTGTCAAGAATTTGCCGAGCTTTCAAAAAATCGACGTAATGTAACCGCTTTACTTGAAAAATTATCAGAGATGATAGGACCGATAATAAAAATCGGAAAATGAAATTATCGAAAAAAATTATTCAGTTTCTGTACATGAAAGAATTAATATATTTGATATTTAATGTATTGCCATATATGTAGGTAAAATTTTAAATTACGAAAATCGATCAAATCATTAACAATACTTAAAAAAATTGTTAAAGGTAGGTCTCAAGCTATGTGAGATCTATACATAAAATCATCGAAAAAATCGGTTAAAGTATGTTTCTATACATGAAAAATTGCAAAAAAAAATAACTATTGCCATTTTGTTAAATTATAGACCTAAATTCATATATCAAATCATAAAGAAAACTTAAAGTATAGATACCGAAAACTTGGCTAGTTCAGCTAAGTTATTTAAATGTTATTCTAATGCATTTCGACCCACCCCTATTTATAGTGCCATTTAACTTGATGTTTAACGGTTTACACGTGCCGCAACAATGTAGCATTGACGCCGTCGACAGGTGTACTTGGTGTAATAGTAATGCCCATTCGAATGCGATAAAGTAAGGCCCCGAGTTATAGTTATGCTCCCCGTGGGCCAGAAAACTACCGTCTCCCATTGATAACGGGAATAATCGTAAATTGCATTGCGCACTAAGTTTTCCTTTGGCAACAATGTCGCTATCTCATTTAATTATTAACACCAGTCAGTATTTTATAGGGTGATTTGTACTACTAAAAAAATTCAAGTTGAATTTTATTATAAAATGTAGAATTCTTAGAATAATCGGTAAGCAGGTATCCTTACTCTTTAAAAAAATATAATTCCAGCCTTTAAATAGGGGTTTCTTAACATAACCGTGATTCATTAAATAATCCTGAAAAAATAAGTGTTTTGGTAAGTTCCAACAGTTGTGCCGAAAAAGTAATACCCTTTCCACAAATATTTTGAATTCCTAAAAACATTAAAAAGTTTTTACCATATTTGTGGCCTGAAACATACGATTAAAAAATATCTCCATACAATAGTAAATCATACGTTTGAAGATATTACTTATATTTTTTTTTTAAATTTCGCGAAGTGTATCTATTTATTATTACCACTTTTTGGCGCCACCTTTTTTGACGCCTTTCGTATCAGAAGATAACGCCTGTGCAAACCTTCAATTATAAATTATTTGAGGAGCTCAAGACTTGAGTATTTTGGCATAACTGATTCATAGACGTAATTATAGAGGTAAAACCCCATTCGAAGGTCACGATTGTAAGAAGAGGATTACCGTTTTTTTTCGAGGATGAGTAATAATATACAAATATAAAACACAGTAAGTGACACTTGTATGTTTTATATTTTACATTAAATAAAAGATAAATATTATACTTTATTAGCAATTTAAGATAACTTTTACTAAATATAAGTTTAACGTAAAAATCTTTGGAGTTCCATATTTTTGCAATACATTTACATATATGCATAAGTAATGTTAATAAATTGGGTTAATTTCATATAATTTGTTGTTAGAAGTTTAGCAGGAATTGTTTAACCCTTGCGAGTCACATTTGTTTACATTCTTCTTGAGTTCTTGTTCTTCGCTCTTGTTTTCTTAAATTATATTTGCTGTTGACACATTTTGCATGTGCAATTCCGATGGATTTACGCAAAAAGGTGTTAAGCAGACAACAATAAAAATAAACGGAGGAGGAACACGATAAAGGGGAGAAGACGAGAGAGAGCGAATAAGAAGCGACCAGGCAGCTGCAAAAACAACAAAAAGCTCAGACAGGAAAAAGAAGAAGAAAACAAGACGCCGGTACAGTTGCGCTCACAAACACACGTGCAAAGCCATGCAAACACATATGAGCAATTGGCAAAGAGCGTACAAAAAAAACAACAACAAAAATAACAAAAACTGCAGCGTGGCGCTTTTATAACGGAACCCAAAACAAAACAAAACAAAGGCAAAACGGACGCTGCACTCAAAACAAAACAAAGTAGAGAAATGAGAGAGAGAGAGAAAAAGAACGAGAAATTGAGTGATTTTGCTTTGAGTTCTTCCCTGTGAGTTTATTGTTGCAGCAACATTGTGGCAAAGACAAATAAAATGTTGCCTCAACATTACTCTTTTAATTGTAAAATAATGATTTATTTAACCATTTCACCTTACTTCATTTGTTTATTTTATTAATTTTTGTAATTTTAATTTGGTTTTCAGTTTGAAATAGAAAAATTAAGTTAAGTTTGCGTAATGTTAGTA